TGTAATCATGATATTCTGCATTTTGGGAGAAGCTGTGATAAGACACAACACAACTGCCAGAATTTCTGGAACAAGGGGCTAAAATGTGTCCTGTTACAAGACTAACAAGATGATTAACATAACTTACATAATACAGTGTTTGGTGGTTTAGATGTGCTACAAATGCACAGTTACATAGTTCAGGATTTTTCCAGAAAGAACACCTCTTTTCTCCTCTAGGGCATCCCCTAGTAAGCATTGATTAACAGTTTAAGTTACCTATCAGAGGTGAATAAGTGGAGTCTTTCATTAACAGGGATTTACAGTGTTGCACACTACTACTATTGAGGTATTTTTCTGTTCATGTAAATTAACTTGATTCATTGAAATCGGAAATGTTTTCTTAGGGATAATTAGCGACAAGAATTGACTGAAGATTTTATACAGAAGATGAAACTTATCCAGAGAGGTTATTATTAGCTGGAGTATTTTTCTCATTGACAGAAGATGCAGTATTTCAGTTGGTTGTTTTTAATATATTGTAAAGGCATCTTGAACCAGAACAGGAAAAGTATAGTTAGTAACTAACATTTGAAGTAAAAATGGAAGAAATGAAATTACAATATGACATAGGAAGACCAACATACATAACATTTAAAGCAGATTTTTAAACTCATTCTTAGCGGTGAGCAAAAGTTTTACCTCATCATTCGAAAATTTCCTTTTCAGAGTAAGTGGATGGCCATTGGGTGGTCCAAAGGCTCTTGGTGTAAAACTGGGAAAAAAAGGTCTATTTTCCTACATGATTGAAATTTGTGTGTTGAATCAGTAATGCTTATGAACCTGGAATAAAATACAGTTTGGGGCAGACACTGCAAGAAGGTTTATCAACGTGAAATTAAGGATCCCAACTGAGCAACAGTGTGGCTGGCTAACATGGTGGAGTATGTGGAAAGGGTTTTTCAGCCATGTCTAACTATTTTATTGAACTAAGATGCTTGGAAAAACATCCCTTTTTTTTTTTTCCCAGCAAGAAAAAAATGAAGGACCTAAGTGAAATAACAACAGTGTAAGCATATTCCCTGAAAAGAAGAAGCTGGCATGTAGGTGCTTTTCTCTTCACAGAAGGAATGTTATTGTAGTAACACATTCCATAAAAAGTTTGATGCATTTTAATGATTAAGGTATTTATCCTACTTTTATTGTGGCATAGATCTTTTTCCATACTGTCCACTTTATGAACTGCTGGAATCCATCTGCTGTGGTTCCAGATCATAGTTGTTGTCAGATTGTTTGGACAAACTGTCAGGCATTTTCTAAGTTAACGACGTTTATCACTGGTTCTCCTGGCAAAGGAACGTTTGTTGACCATGACTCTTCTGACATGGCAAAAGCAATTATTTGCAGTGGTATGGTAGCTCTGTGATAGGAGCTCTTAGTCATCACAGGGCTACAGTTGCATCTTTCCAGTACTCCCATTTTAAATAATTGAAAGAAGAGTTTGAAAGGGAATGAATGATTCCCTCAGAGAGGAAGTTACACAGAGGTCTAATATTCTGGTTCTGGGAGAAGCAGGCAGGATTATATGTAAACACTTCAATGCAGTTTTCCTTTACTTTATGCAGAAAGACTGTTCTCGTGGGGACAACAAGCAGGGAAGTAGTAATGGTGGCGTAAATGGTCATGTCAAAAGCGTACAAAAGCATTGGACTCTGCAGATATGACACTCTTGGGCAGTCATCAAACAGATTGCCTGATAGCTGACCTGAAGCTCATTAGCCATTGTGTAAGGGAGGAAAACAAACTATTTTGCACTTTTGGTGAATAAAATGAATGAACTGGGTTCAGCAGATTTGTAATAAGGCTCAGTGATTTGGCACATAGAGATCTGACAAACATAGTGTCCATCACACTGATTTATATTTTTTCCAATTTGTCAAAAATATCCTACATTTTATCTGACAACTAATTTAGGGCTAATGATAGATCCCTCTTGTTACAATTTCCAATCTGTAGGAGGAGTAAGAAATTAAAGGTTCCAAAAAGGGGGAAAGTCCTCCCTGAAAATGCCATAGTTTCTTTTATGTATGTTTTTTTGTTTGAATGCCTGTGCTGATGCTGCTCTTCAAAGGCAGACTTTTCATAACCAGAGTCCTCCTAGTTACGACTTTTACCTTGGCATTTGGGATGAATCCTGGTTTTCTGTCTGTTTTTCATAGACTTCATGCATTAAGAACATACCTTTTTATCTTTAAACCTTCCTTTGATGACTGTCACTGGCTGCCTATTTCCAGTCTCACAGTGTTAAGTTCCACCAGTCTTCTGACTGTCCCTCCTGAAGCCATAAGCCACATTTGCAACCCTCCTTTGACATCTCCCCCATAATACTGCTTTTCTGTATCCCTGAGACTTAAACCCAGACATAAGGGAGAAAAAGGACCAGAACAAACTTGACCTAGTGGAAAAGAGACAAATTTCTAGCTTGAGGAGCAGCTTGTAGAAAACCTTCCCTCAGCAAGTCAGTCAGGAAAGTAAATACCATTTATCTAGATATGTACCACCTGCTCCTAAATCATCACAATGCAAGTGACTGCACTGGCCCATGACCCAGTGGTTTTGAGTCAGCAATGTAGTCCTTTGCTGGGTGTTTCAATCAGTGGAAACTAGAGCTTCACAGAAATTAGGTGGTGTATCTTATGCTCACAGCTGAAACAGTCCGTGTCTGCTTCTGTACTGGGAATTCTCCATCACATCCTCGCTGTATTGTCACATCTTGTCTATCTGGATGACTTGACTGTGTGGTCTCTATACACCAACGTGTTTTCTAAACAAAGCTGAGAGCTTGAAAATGTATCACTCCTCTGGGTTTGCAAGAGATAATAATACCTGCACGTCTGCCAGATTGTGTTGCTAGTTACAAGGATGTAAAATGAGACAAGGTCACAGCAGTAGCTAATGGAATAGTCCCAAGGTTTATCAGTATGAAAGAGAAAAGAATTTAGTGGAGTTTAAAGAGAAGTAATGTTTTCCTCCCTTTCACTGCAGCTGCTTCACCCTGTTTGTTTCTTTTTGCTTGATTATATACAAAACGTATTAAATGAACAACTGAGCTAAGTGATGTCTTTTCCAGAGTTGTCGTACCTTGTAACTTGATAATCATCATAATCCAGATTCACTGGAAAAGATTGGGTTAGTCTAAGAGAATGTTGGTGACAGATTTCTTATTTGTGAGAACAGCTATTTCTGTGAAGGTTTTAGCATGCAAATAATGAGCCATTTACCTTTTTAAAAAGAACCTTTCTGTCCTAACTACACTGATTCTCTAAATACAGTTTATGATCTAAACACTAGTCCTTTGAGAACTATTCAATCTCTGATCATGTCAGTGGGTTGACCAAGACAAAAATATGCAAAATCAATCATTTTATCTAGCTGTCCTGCTCAAATATTGTATGAAACAAAAGAAGAAAAAAAAGGTCAACCAAAGAACTGAAAAAACACTCCATCAGTGCCTTGTAATCAAGTTAACGAGTAATATGCTTATGTTTTAAACCTTTTACATGGATTAGAACAAAACACACTGTTTTGGAAACCAGGCCATTGTATAGTTGGAATTGTGTGCCATTTAAAGCATGAAGTTGTTTAACTTCCTGCTAGTTTTTCCCCCACAACAGAAGTCCCACTGGTTTTGATCATCTGCATTTGGAAGAAGCCAGCAAGGAGCAGTAGCATTCTGGACATAACTAGTAACTTTCTGTCAGTTTTTGCCTACAATTTGCAAAGAATTTTCAGAATCTGTGGATAAGAGTAAATGCAATTAGACTGAAGCCGAAACTCATTACAGATGCACTAGAAAATCCAGTGAGGATTCAATTTGTATTTCTGTGGGTTAAACTGTGAAAAAAATCAAGAAGTAAATCCTGTTAGAGATTCAGAGAATAAGTGTGACATTAGTCTTTAACTGACTTGAAATAAGAGCAAATATTACCCACAGATTTTTTTTTGTAACGTTGAAATTATTTTTCTTTAACTGAAGAGAATCTTTATTGGTTGAGATTCTAGTAACTTGAAATTTTCCTGTCAGTAATTTGTGTGTTGGTAGAGTGCTTAACATTTTTGTGTTTCGGATATTTAATTTTTGTTCACTGGATTAGTTTGAAAATTATACAGAAGCTGTTTTATTATATAAGTTTCACATAATAGGACACTGACTTTAAAGTTCCTGGAGAAATTATGGCTTGAGTAAATAGTTTGTCTCATTTATTATCTCTGCAGTGCCATATATACCAGGTCAGTAGTGATCAAAAATCCTGAGAAGAGGTGTCTTTTTGCTGATTGGTGTGAACTGACTGGCATTCCTGAGTCCCTGGGCTTTCTCCTCTTTGACCCCTGGTTCATAGTTCACATAAAGGCTAGGAATGTGGAGATTTGTGAGCTTTTCTCACATTCAGAAGAGATCTGGGACATATTGTTAATGCGGAGATAAAAAATGTATTACATTTTCATGTGGATCTTGGTCTCCAGAGCAAATGGTACATCACCAATACCAGAATCACTAAAAAAAACAGGTGTAAGAATTTTCACTGTATTAAGAGGTTGTTCCAAAACTGGAAAGAAAGAGCAGAAAACAAATATCTAAAAGAATATCTAGATTAATAATTCATATAAGAAATCCTAAGAAGTTGGATTTTTACATTTCCATCTGAAAGAAAAAAAATAGTTTAGGGACTGTGGAGTCAGTAAGATTTTTTTAAAGGTTTGGTTATCCATAGATCATATCTAGTATAAGAAAGGAGGCATTGATATTATTAGGACTGTATTATGAAGCAGCTGCTTGAAAAGGAAATTAAAGTTCCTAACAGTATACAGCATAAACCAATGTAGCTTTTATTTGAGCTGTAGAAAGCCACTTCAAATACAATCGTTATATACAATCAAAGAAAGTTATAAAACCTGCTTTATAAATCTAGTAGGCCCTTTCCATATAGTTTCTTCAGTATTTTTTCTTTTCCTTCCAAAAGCATCATCATGTGATCAAGAACTTCAGTCAGCCCTGGAGGAAGCTAAACAGCCCCAGAAAGACAATGTGTTCATTCCAGAGTGTGCTCAGGGTGGCCTCTACAAACCAGTGCAGTGCCATCCTTCCACAGGCTACTGCTGGTGTGTTCTGGTCGATACAGGACGTCCCATCCCTGGTACATCAACCAGGTAAGGGAATACACATTCAGTAGTGAGAAGATGCCTTAGTGTGCACATACTAGCATGTAGATTTCTGTTGGTGGTGGAATTATGTCATATAGGTTTCTTCCACTATGAAGTGAAATATTTCTAAGAGACATCAAAAGTTAACGCTGGATATTCACAGACTCTTTCGCTGCAATTTCAGAGGCAGTTTGCTCCCCTAAGTCCTCTTTTTTACTTCTGTTTTATGCTGGGAAGCCAAGGCTTGGAGAAGATAATGAATAGGCCCAGAAGAAACCTCACACTGCTTAGCCTGAATATAGAACCAAGTAAGATGGTCTATGACAGAAACCACATCCAACCTCAGAAGTGTTCAGTTATTTTTCCAGCAACCTCCTCAACTATTTCATATGACTGGCTTTGATGGAACAACTGCTTGGGAACTCAGAGAGGAAATATCATTTTAGTGTGTTATTAATAGAAACTTGGAGTTCAGTCATCTGAGCTGAGCCAGAAGCATGGTAAAGTGTTGTGAGCCACATAGAGCAGATGTAGGCAAAGAAACTATCAGGTTCCAAAGGATGTTATTTAGGCTGGTTACTGAGGTTTGGCCCTTGTAGGAATGCTATAGAAGAAACCTATTTAGAGCTGGTGGACTGTATGGGTATCTTGATGCGATCATAAATCTTTTCAAGCTTAAAAAAAAAAGTCATTTGTATAAGGTTTGTGAAAAAATATTATAGGCCACTTGCTCTGAAGTATTATATTCTTGGGGAGTGTTTTCACATATTCTTCAAGTGATGATTCACTACTGATAGCTGTTTATATCATAGTTAGACCATACCAGTTAGAGTACCAGCTAAAGGAATCATGACTTAAAGTTACTGTTGATCTGATTTTTCTGGCAAGTTGAGATCCATAAGCTGTCAAAACAAAACAAAATAGTCCAAATTTGTTCCTGAAACTGTATGATCAGTACACATACTGAGTGAGGAGCTAGAGGTGTCCTCTAGAGATTCCAGAGGTTCCTTTTTCTGCTCTTTCTCTGTTCTTCACCCCTAGGTTTGTTCGCTGTTTCGAAAGTTTTTACTGCTAATTCTTCTTCGAATTATAGTTAAAATAATTTTATAGAGCCTTAGTTCCTATTCTTTATTTTGAGTCCAAATCATCTTCTCTCACTCATCAGGCAATGGGGCTTCTGCTGATTTTTTTGTAGTTCTTCTTTAATGAGTATCATTTTATTGTTGAATCACAGAATAGTTGAGATTGGCAGGGACCTCTGGAGATTCTCTAGTCCTATCCCTCTCCTCAAAGCAAGGTCAGCTAGAGTGTATTTCTCAGAACTGTCCAGTTGGGCTTTGAATATCTCCAAGGATGGAGAGTCCACAGCCTCTCTGGGCACCCTGTTCTAGTATTTGATCACCACCATAGTTAAAAAAAAAAAAAGTAGTTTTTTGTGTTTAAATGAAATTAATTTCATTTTGTGCTCATTGCCTCTTTTCCTATCACTGGACATCACTAAGAAGAGTCTGACTTCATTTTCTTTATTTTTTCCCCCTTTGATATTTATAGACATCGATAAGATCCTCCCTAAGCCTTCTCTTCCCTAGGCTGAACAGTCTCAGTTCTCTCACCCTTTCCTATTAATGCCAAATGCTCCAGTCCATTAATTCGTATTCATGGCCCTTTGCTAGACTCACTCCAGTATATTCATGTCTATCTTGTTTGGGCAGCCCAGAGCTGGATCCAGCACTCCAGATATCTTACCAGTGTGAGAGGGAAAGGATCACCTCCCTTGACCTGCTGGCAATTCTCTTCCTAATGCAGCCCTGGAGGCTGTTGGCCTTTGCTGAAAGGGCGTGTTGCTGCCTCATACTGAGCTTAGTGTTCATCAGAAATCCCAGGCCTTTGCCACAAAACTGCTTTCCAGGTGGTTGGCCCATGCTGGTACAGGGGATTAATCTTCCACAGGTGTGGGAATTTTGCATTTGCCTTTTTTTGAACTTCATGAGATAACTGCCAGCCCATGTCTCCAGCTTGTTCAAGTTCCTCTGAATGGTAGCACAATCCTCTAGTGTATCAGCTGCTCCTCCCAATTTTGTATCATCTGCAAACCAGATAAAGTTGTTCTCTGTTTAAACAATATTGGCTCTAGTATTAAACTCTGGGGTACTCCACTGGTGACTGGATTCCAGCTGAAATTTGTTCTGCTGATCCCAACGCTTTGAGACTGATGGTTCAGCCAATTTTCAGCACACCTCACTGCCCGCTTATCTAACACATAATTAATCAGTTTGTCTATGAGAATGTAATCAGAGACAGTGTCAATAGCCTTTCTAAAATTAGGATTAACAATATCTGCTCTTCTCTCCTCATCCACGGAGCAAGTCGTCTCTATCATAGAAGGCTGCAGGGTTGGTCAAGCATGATTTCCTCTTCAGAAATCCATGCTGGCTACTCTCAATCACCTTCTTGTCCTTCATATGTTTTGAAATAGCTTTTAGGAGGGTTTGCTTCGTCACTTACTGAGGAATTGGGGTAAGGCTGACTGGCTTGTTATTTGACTCCTCCTCCCAGGAACCTACCCCAGTCACTACGACCTTTCAAATATAATTGAGAGTAGCCTCACAATGACATCAGCCAGCTTCCTCAGCACTTGTGGGTGCATCCCATTAGATCCTATGGATTTGTGTATGTGCAGTTTGTTCATGTAATCCCTGATTTGGCCCTTTTCCACCTAGGGTATATCTTCCTTACTCTGGACTGTAATACTGATCTCAGGGACCTGGGATTCCTGAAGACTGGTCTTACAAGTAAAGACCAAGGAGAAGTTCTGCCTTCTCTATATTCTTTGTCACAAGGTCCCCTGTCCGACCCAGCAGCAGATTCACATTTTCCCTAGTCTTCTTTCTGCTGCTGATACATGTGTAAGAAGTTCTTCTTGTTGTCCTTCATGCCCCTTACCAGATATAGGTCCAGGGGGCTTTGGATTTCCTAACCCCATCCCTGCATATTGGGACTGTATTTCTTCTGTATCACCTGCTTCCACCCTCTGTATCCTTCCTTTTTAAGTCTGAATTAGGGGCTTCCTGCCACATCCTGAAGATCAGCATGAATCATTCATGAAGTTGGAAGTGGTGGTCGTTGAAAATCAACCTGCTCACTTTCCTATTTGTATGTATAATGTGCATGTAGTGTGGGTGATTTTGTCTTCTACTGTCATTCAGACTGGAATTCTAGTTCTTCCCAACCTCCTGATGACTCACTATGGATCTAAAATCAATCTCCGTCTTTTTTTCCTATGTGGTCTGCTGGTGTCTTGTGTTTGGCAACTATGCAATCACTCAGCTGTGGGAGAATAGGTGGCAGGGAGATTTCTCACCATACAGTACTCCAAATTTGGACAGCTGGCAAACTGGATTCATTTCATGCATATGGTTTAGATGCAGATCTTTTGCTTGATGAATGCTCTGCCTGATGACTGATAGGAGATCAGCTGCTGTGGTCTTGACCGTTTGTAATTTGTCCAGCTCTGCTGGATTTATGGGCAGTTTTCAGTGGAGCTCTGAGGAAGTAATATTTAGTAATATCCCTGGAGAGGACATTTCTGAGCACAGATGGATAAGTATAATACTCAATTTTAGGAGTTTCATACTAAATAAAGAATGACTGGTGTATTTAGGAATGTATAGTCCTGGTAAACAAGCAGGTGGGATTACTGCCTGGAGTTTAAGAGGAATATCTAGACCACATTTCTGAATAAGATTTAGGGGGGCTGGAATCTCAATGATTATTTATTTATTTTAATATTTTTTTCCTACATTGATAAAATTAAACTCTTTTTCTCTGGCAAAGGGAAATAGAGCGGGAGCAGAATATGATGAGAAATATGCTCTTATCTTTTTGTAATTCTTTCTTACAGAATGGAAAGAGTGAACATGTGAGTCTTTCCTGGTTTAAAAACCAGGGGTTCATGCAGAATGGTGTATGCTATCTTCCAGCTTTCCACTGCAAAATACAAATTAGAAGAGTAGGTGTTAAAACTCTACTGCAGGAACTGATAGCTTTAGTACTCCTGGTAGCAAGAAGGATGCATTATGTCCTGGAATCTCTGTTCTGCAAATCTGTATCGAATCACAAGGGAATAACAGTGAAAGGATAGACAGATCTGGGAAACTGTTGCCAGAATAACTTAGCAATTTGCATGTTGTTTGTTTTGAATAAATTTGTGAGGATGAAATTTGTCATATCATCAGGCTATGAATACCAAAATAAATAGTAGTTGCATTAAATTAGACCTCCAAAATGAAGGGAAGCTATTAATACTCATTCACCTTCTAATGTCCTGTCATCTGAAAAAAAAGATAAATCATTTGCTAGTGAAGGTATTCCAGAAAAAAAAAAAAAATCTCATTCTAGAGTTAAAATAAAGATATGTGAATGAAGAACCACTCTAGGAAATTTAAGACAGTAAAATTCATGAAGAAATAGGTGAAGTTGTGGTATAAATCTGGCTTTTATGAAACCCTAGAGGAAACATCCATTTGACTAAAAGGAAATAAAGGGTACAAACAACCATTCCTCCAAAAGCTTGTCAGTATGGTCCTCACCATCCAGTTCCCAGTGCTTCCTGGACCTCACAGGGTGACCCTCAGCCTTTTTTGCTCAGGAGGGCCATGAGCCTTTGTTCTCACATGTGACTTTTCAGCAACTAGGATCATGGGCAGAGTAATCCCCAATTCACTTACACAAGGTTCTCTAAACTTAACAAAGAACATAAATCAGTGGCTTCATGAGGCTGCCCACACTGTAGAATCCCTGTGAAAGCCTCCATCCTCTCTTGCTTTGCACACCTTAGTAAATCTCAGTGCTTCCAGCAGTCTGCTCAGAAGTATAAAGCAGCCTTCATAAGCCCTTGCCAGCTCTAGATATGCATTCACTGCTACGGATCCTTTCCCCTTTAAAATTCAAAAGAGTAACTTGGGATGTCTTTTGACTGCATTATTTTTAACCTGACAGTGCTCCATTCTGACATGTTATCTCTTTCCAGTCTTTCCCCATGAAAACTGAGGCAAGTGTGTTTTTCTTATCAGTTCTTAGCATGGCTGTCCCCGTACGGTAAATTTCTAATGATTCATTTTCTTTCTTTAATTGCTTTAAAGAGTTAAACGTAGACTTTTCACATTGCAGCATTTTAACACTTATTGAGCTTTAGAAGTTTTGCTTTGTATATGATGAACAACATGTGTATTTAACAAAAACATAAGCCAAAAGGTTAGAAGAGTAGAGGCCAAAAAAGAAAGTGTAGGCACAGAGCAGTAACAAAAACAGAAGAGGACCAGGGGAATGCAGAGTCAGTTATCAGATTAATTGGGGACCAGGCTGGTTGCCAGATACTGCATTAGTGAGTATTGCTCAGAGATTTCCCTTTCACTCTTTTCTTGGCTGATTGATGTGGTCATCCATCAGGTATCTGAATCCAACCTATGCTATCAAAGCAACTTCTATTCCCACAGTTCTTTAGGTTAAAAAAAGTGCCTGTACCTCTCCCATGCCCGTGAAAAAAACACTGTACCTTCTTGCAGCAGCCAAAATTTGATGGGCCAGTGGTCAGTTTCATCAGACGATGTCAATATAAATTAAGTACTCAAAGGAAAATAATATTGCTTTTTATTCATTCTGCCTGATAATTAAGATCAGAATACTTAGGAATTGTTCTTAAGGGCACTTGGGCCTGGACCCAGGACATAGCCACCATTTAATGCTTTTAAAAAAAAGATTTTGTTCCAAAATCCAAAATCTCAGTAAACATTATTTTGTGGAACTTAGAATAGGAGAATTTCAAAGAAAGGTGAGCAGTTATATAAAATGTGAAAGAACCTAATTCAGTGAACAGGTTTGTATATGCACAACACATGTATCTGGACAGAAGTCATATTACTAAGTGTGTTTAACTGAGAATCGAAACTTTCTCTGAAACACTACACACTAAATTTTGCAGCTTCAAGCTACTTTAGGAGAATGAGAAAGTAAAATTTCTCTGAAAGTGATTCTGGCAAGCTGAGTGAAAAACCACCATGCATCGATAGCAGGACATAAGAAAAAAGGAGAGATTCAGCAGTAGATGCTCCTATCCCTCCCAGTCTTGCATAACATACTTTGCTAGTGGTTTTGTGTAAGTCAATGTTTGTGAAAGTACAAATAGCAGAGAGTTTCTTATTACCAGCTGGACTAACAAAGTGACTTTAAGTAAACTGAGACAGCATAGGGGAACCAGAATATTCAAGTAGCAGGTGGAGATTTAGTCTTTTTCATGATCCATTTCAAGAGTTTCAGCTCAATTCCCTTCCGTCTGAAAATCCTATCAGTTCTTTGCTCTTGTTCAAAATGTTAGCACTTCATGGTTAGCCCTTCTTATGTAAACAAACATTTTTATTTTAGAGACAATGCAGTAGCATTTGGCTTTAGAGCTGCAGTAGTAGCTGACTACAATACCTGTCTTGCTGTGATTTTGAAATTGCTTCTCTGATGTTTTGCAACATGAATACTGTGTCAGATGTCAGAATTTGATATATTATTGATGGCTTTTTGATTTGATAGGTGGGAGGAGAGCCTGACTTTGGTTTGGGTTCTGTGTTTTTTTTGTGTTTTTTTCAAAATTATTTGTTATTATGTATTATTTTATAGCAATTCCCCAAAGTTTTCTCCTTCCTCAGTTCTCCTTCCTGTAGAATGGGCTTTGGAATAGATAATAATTTTTTAGTATAGTATCAACCCCAGGAAAATAAAGATGTTCTGGTTTCTTTGAAGAAAGTAGAAAATAAGCAAATAAATTTGCATTGCCCCTTCTGAATGAAAAACAGGCTTACTCCCTGAAGAAAAGAAGGTACAAATTTAATTTGGACTACAAAATTGAAAATAGATTAGTTCGAAATCAAATTAACCTTGACTGGTTCTGTTGTCTCCCTGTTTGTTCTTTAGGTATGAACAACCTAAGTGTGATAATGGTGCCAGAGCTCACCCAACCAAAACAAAGGATTTGTACAAAGGACGCCAGCTTCAAGGTCAGTGAAACAGATAAATTTGGTTTCATGCATTCCAATGCTTTGTTTATTCACTGCAATAAATTAGAAAGCAATTTTTTATCCTATATCAAAACAATGCATCTTTTAGATATAACTATATTGAATGCCACTGACAGAGGTCTTTGACTTCGGAACATTGTATGTAAATACGTCTTGGAATGTTATCAGAGAAAGTAAGGCTCATTTTTCTCAGTAGTTTAAAGGCAGTCACATTTACTTGCTGGAATTATTCCTTGGTGTGGTCATAGCAGAGAAGTCAGCAAACATGTCCATACTTCATAATCCTTGTTCTAGAAGAATCCATGGGAACTTGGCTTCTACCTTCAAATCAGTCTAAAAAATGTATCATCTGCTTACTTTTTTCCAAGAGTACCCTTGTCAGTTTAGCTCAGAATAACATTATTTTATTTTTCTCTGTTGTAGGAACAAACCTTGGTGTTTATTAGATTTTTCATTTTTTTACACTTCTTATAAGTGTGTGAGAAATCTTATCTCCAGATAGTTGAGCTACACAGAAGTCAGTAGTGTTGCTTCATTTTTTAAATGGCCTTTTAATATGTTTAAATAATTTGAGGTGTAGGAGGTTTAGTGATATTGTACATGGTATGAGGGAATTATGAATCACTGTCAGTTATTGTAAAGAATCAGAAAAAAGCAAATAGCGTGGGCAGATTTTTTGTATCATGAAAAATATTTCAGTTTAGCCACCCAGAGAAACATCTAGACAATAATTCTGAACTAAACATGCCCATCGATGTTGAAATGCATATTGAATGAAGCATATAATGAAACAAAATTATTTACAAGCTATAATAAAAAAAGAGTAAGAAATATGAATGATATGTTATTATACCATATACAATTACATGTTGTGTTCTACATAGAAAGAAGTCAATCCTAGGATTAACTGTAAACTGTCCAATTACTGTGGCTGTAAAAATGACGAGTGTGACCCAAAAACATATCTAGCTAGGTATGATGGGACAGACAGATAGGAACAGGACAGACAAGGCAGACAAGGAAACATTAATGGCATTTTAGATAGCCCTGTTGTTTTTTCTGGATTTTATCTAGAACTGGGGGGTTACAATTCTGGTCATCTGTCTTCCGGAAAATGAATCCATAGGAGAAGTTAGCTAGCACTAATCTATCAGGGAAAACAGCTACCTTCCAAGAGAAGGCAGCTAGAATTTGCTTCATTTAGACAAGATGAGATCTGGAGGTGATACTGTTCCTCTGAGACCATGAGGAAGAGAAACTGTTTTCCTCTGTGACAATTTTGGCACAAGAAAAATAGGTATGAACTACCCTAAATGAATTTCACCTGGGAGCTATAAAGTGGTTTCCAGCTATTCAAGTAGTGAGGCAACAGCCTTCTAAAGGACTAGTAATGGGGCAGAAGATCTGGTTAGTTTTTTAGGTAGATTTTGAGTGCTTTTTGAGACAGTGGGAGGCAGGGTTGAATGAGTGAGGTACTCTGCATTATGGCTTATCACTTAAGATACTGAACATGTATATACTAACAGATGAAAAAGCTGATTTACACTAAAAAAATTGCCTTGGAGCGTGAATTTCATATCTCTTACCAAATTGTCTCCATTTCTGTTCCTTCAGAAAAAGGATGGAGCATGCCTGACTTGCAGTTTTGGTGTTTAGCTGCTCACAGTTTTCAGCAAGAACCATACGTGCCACATAAATCCTCATATATGTGAAGCTTAGTGGCAAATACACCTCTGTTGACAGTCATATTGATGGTATTTATCCATCATTTTGTCACTCAGTACTTGCTTACTGAAGTTACTTACTGCTGTTGTAACTTCAGGGAAGTTAGCAATTATTTCAGGGATAATTTGGGAAATATTTTGGACCTTACTGCAGCCTTTCAATACTTAAAGTGGGCTTATAAGAAAGACTGGGACTGACTTTTTAGTAGGATCTGTAGAAATAGGACAAGGGGTAATAGTTTTAAACTAAAAGAGAGTAGATTCAGACTAGATATATGGAAGACGTTTTTTACGATGACAGTGGTAAAACAATGGAACAGGTTGCCCAGAGGAATGATAGATGCCCCATCCCTGGAAACATTCAAGGTCAGGTTGACAGGGCTCTGAGCAACCTGATGTAGTTGAAGATGTCCCTGCCCATGACAGGGGGGTTGGATTAAATGACCTTTAAAGGTCCCTTCCAACCCAAACTGTTCTATGATATTTTACAATCCTCATTCCATGGAAACCAATGGAAAATTGGCCATCCTCAATAATTTATTTCCAACAGCACTTGCACAGTTACAGGCTTGGATAACTACTTGATTTCGTGTGTGTTTTTTCTGAGTGAAAAGAGTTTACACTCAGAAGAGAGTATAGCAGAGTGGAAGCTGAAGAAGCAAGTTTTTTCACTAGAAGATAGCACTTTCTGGTCACTTACCTTTTGCTAAAAATTTTGAAGAAGCATTTGCTAGCTCTAATCTTAGAGGGAGGATGGGCATGTGAAGGGTTTTAAGTTTTCACCTATCTGTTATACAAACTGATATATCTATATCTATATCTAGGTATATATAAAAGAAAGATTTATCCAAAGTCAAGATACTTTTCCAGTGAAACAATTAACAAGAACTTTCCATGCTGTAAACTCCTACCTGATAAATTAATTTTCATTAAGTTAGGCAATGGTTCTCTGATTTTCTTTTTCTACTTTGTGGTATTTTGCATTATGTGAGCTTTAGTCCAACAAACCACTGCAGCAGTGTTAGCCCATAATTAGCGGAAATTATTATGTATGACATGGATTTGCTCTCCCATTTCTTCTGTTTCTTAATCTTTGACTCTCACATGCTTTATATTATTTTAAAATAAGACAAATACCAAAATTTCCTAACATTTCTTAAATACATATGGGCTAACAAGAACAGGGAAAGAGGTTACTTCACAGTTGCAGTTATGTTAAGGTGTTTATTTTTCTTTCTCTCAAGGCTTTCTCTTTACTCTCTCTCCAGACTAGTCTATTAAATGCCCATGTTCTCAAATGGCAAATTTCTTATCATACAAACACTACATCAAATAAAAATTAATTCAGTTTGCTTTAGATAGTTTTTTTGAATAAAGAAGGTTGAAAGAGGATATTGCACAGCTGTGGTTAGTTGCTAACAAGTAACATAAAATTACACAAATAGCTAATACAAATCCACTTTTTAATACAAATGAACCACTGTTTCTCTGTTGTATGCAGTGTTGCAAAGTCGTGTTTGCATTTGTGTCATCTCAATTTAAATACAGCATCTGATTGCTGAGTGGTGCCAGGACTGAATAAAAAGTAGGCTGTGTACTTACTTTCAAGGAATAATACATTTTTGAAAGGATGGGTTTGCTTGATTTGCAGCTTATACCCACAAAAATGCAGTAGCCCTGGGTGAAACCACTGTGACTGCCTGCTGTGTAAAACCAAGATTTTAAAACAATTACTTTACTACTATGAAGGATCTTAAAGTAGGATAAAAGCAACTGGTATGTCCTCAAGTGGATTAAATTGGCATAGTTCTCCAGCTATGCTGATTTATACCACCTGAAAATTTGAACCCATTATATGTTAAGACAAATATTTTTACCAATAATTTGCAAATAAATCAAGATGCAGTTTTTGGCAGCCAATGGTATCTTGTTAAGGCAAAATTGTAGAAGGTAAGGGCCCCTTGGAGTTTATGGCAAAATTCCCACTGATTTAAACCAAGCTAAGAATATATCCTCACATCCTATGGGTAACTTAATATAAAGCATCTGAAATTGAAGATTAATGTTTGTAAGAACGATCCAAGCCACCTGTATCTGTTAGATTGGTCTGAAAGTTATATAATAATAATTCTTCCCATTAGATTTCTAGTCCGTTTTTTAAAGCCAGAGCATTTTTCTGATGTTACTTGTGGTTTTGATCCTTCTCAGAAACTAGTTATTCTGAGATAATGAAAATGAACCCAAAAAGGAGACTGGAGAATGTCACATACTGGGGAAACAGGAGGGTTTTTTACTTTTCTAACCATCAGTTTTCAAAAGTTTGTATTTTGACCTTTTGTTTTCCTCTGTGTTATGCAGTAAAATGGAAGTCCTGTGATGAAACAACATATTCTGTAAGGAGTCTTGGATGGTTTATTTCCTACTTTTGGATAACTGGTGTGTTAAACAGAAATTCAGTTTTCTACACAAGCTGGTCAAGAGCATTTAAAAGGGCATAGCATGAATGCTAGTTAAGCTAAATCTGTAATATGATGGAATTAGGTGTAGGTGCCTCTGTATTTTCCTAAAATCATGAGTGGTAATAGGTCAAATTCAGCGAAGCTGAAGAAATGTCAGTTCCTGGAACTGTATTTTTTCAGGCTCGGTCTGCGGGTGACCCAAAAATAATATGTATTCACTAGTTTTTAATAGTCATTAAAATATTTTTCAGCATGCACCCTCAATAGATATCTATTTATTTATAAATTATACCAATATAGTACTGTACTAATATATTAACTTCATTGTAAAACATACCCAAATACAGAAATTAAAAAAAGGATGAAATGAAGATGAAATAAACATGTTTAATAATATTATTATTTATTAATAGTACAAAAAATATATTCTTCTTTCACTCCAATTGATTGTCTTGTGCCCCCCTGGGGTATGTGCACCCCACTTTGGAGACCAATGCCTTAGACGATGGTTAAGCTATCTGTTCATAGAACTAGTCTTCCCTCTGCTCTAAGCAACCTGGAAGAAAGGAACTTGGATATGTAAGAGAGCAAGACATGATAGTGTATTGAGACAGTGCCAGACCACTCAGCTAATTTGCCTCAAGGGCAAATCTTTTTCTTATTTAAAAAGTATGCATCGAATGCAAGAAGGCTGTTTTAGGTTCCACTGTGTGTGAGGCCTGGATAAACTTTGGATAATCCTTTATATAGGTTAAGTTTTTTGTATTCTTACTTAACCTGGGAATTCATCTGCTTT